GTGAGACATGCAGTCAACTTTAATTTCCGTCCGTCATAGAATTTACGATCAATGCACAACTTCTGGCTACCGTAAGACATACATTCAACTTTAATTTCCGATCGTCTTAAAATTTATTATCAACTTCTGGCTGCCGTAAGACATACATTCAACTTTAATTTCCGACTCATTGGAGAAGAGTGCAAGTGGCGGCCTGTGTTGCATGTAGCGCCAGGCCAGCCCTGTAGGCAGGAGCGTGTATGTGAGAACGCAGCTGCTGCCACGGGGAGCGGGGGGAGGTTTTATGGCCCAGGGGAAGAGCTACCAGAAAAAAAAATCAGCGTCATGGAATATAGTGGAAAAAGGAATAACAAATCACGAAAGGGGTAATTGGTGGTAAAAAATGCATAACAGTAGGAAATAGTAGAAAGAAAATTTGCGAATAAGTTTCGCGCAGTGTGATTAAAAAACTAATAATAAATAGTAATAACTCAACTGTAAAATATCCTTACTTGTAGTGCGGGACTATAATATTTGTTAAAAATAATAAATGAATTTAAAAATGTCATTGATCTTATTATGAATTTGGAAAAATTGGACGATTAGTGTCTTCATTCATGAATTTCTCCCTTCACATTTAAAGCTAATATTCACAATACCTTCTACAGACAGGGCAGTGAAGTATTTGACCCTGAACATTTGTAGCTGTAAATGAACCATTACAGGAAATGAAAGATGTTCTGTCCCACGGTAATTTGTTGAGGATCCCGCGCAGGTGTTGCGTGTCAGCTTATAAATCAGTCCGAGATCAAATAGCCATCCGCCGTTCGTGTTGCATTTGTCGTCGTCGTTGATGTTGCTGATATTACTTAACGGTATTCCTTATTTATTTAGCGCTCGTTATCGATTATTATTCTAGAGCTTATTCAAGATTAACTGGCGCTTATTCATGGCTAAGTTATTCGATTTTTTTTTGTACAACTGGAATGAACCGGAAGTGTGCATGTATAAGTTCTTAATTTCTCTAACTGATAGATTTTCGGCCGGTATCAAATGCAGCCTTTATATTTTCACGCACAAAATTTTACTCGATTTATGTTTTGACTTGAGCTTTAATTTCGTTGTGCATACGTGTCCATCCTTACAACGTAGCATCATATCCTGTCATTTCTCTTTTGAATTTGAGTGACCAAAGAATGCATGTTTAATAAGATTACCCATATGATTAATATTTCTTCCACAAATGAAATCTATTCTTAAATTCTATAGCGTCATGCCTCGCATTCTATGAAGATGTCAGAGATTGATTAAAATCAATTCATGGCCTGATAATATCCTCAATTCAAACATTTTCCCTCCCATCGAGCATTATTCATGCATCGCGGGTGCCCCGAAGAATCTCTCTGTTATCTTATGGCTATCAATTCATTCTGTCGGTTTGGTGGAGGCTATTGAGATATCCTGAGAATGTAAAGCCTGTGCATCCTCGACACGGCTGATCGTATTTGCTTTAGGCCTACCGCGCCTTAATGATGGATTATCCCCATCTTTTGAATGGCCTTCCATGACCAGGTTTGTGCTCCTTAGGTTGTACTTACGTCATGCAAATGGTGCTCAGATTATAGCCATTCCGCGAGTCTCAGCGCTGGCGCACCTCATCAATCTTCTTGATGACGCGTGAAGTATTCAACTGATAATAATATCCTGCTTAGAGTAAACTCTTTTTTGCTGTAAGTCTTTCAGTTGTCGCCCTGTTCTTTGTGTTCTCATTCTGTTTTTCTTCCCGTGCATGCATCGCTTAGAAATACGCTCAACGTTCAAAGATTTTACTTATTTACACGTATGATTAATGTTCATGCAATATTTGGATATCGATGCTCTTGTCCATCTATGTGCATAATCATGGAAATATGTTCATCTCTTCCAATAAATATTACATAGGGATATTTTCAACAATAGTGCAGGTAGAATGTGTTTTCTTGTTACATGGAACACCGTTTTGAAATACTTCAGACGTTTCGTCGGTTATATTGATTTAACTTAAATTCATTTTTCATCAGTGCTTCGCTGCTATCGGAGCCAGATAAATATCTAATATCAATAAATATCACACAAGCCAAGTCTTAACTGCCTGATTTCTTGGTCCAATTTCCGCTACTGCGCATGTGAGTTCTCCCTGCAAGGTTAGTACCTATCGAAATAAATTTCCTTTCCCACTCACAGATAAAGAAGAACCCGATGATTTTAGGAAGTTTCTGGCAATGTTTAGAGATGAGAAATAATCCTCGGTGTAATCTTCTTTTCTTGTGCACAGCGGTCCACAGGATGTCTTTCTGATTACTGAAAATCAGTTTCGGGATCATCCTTTGGTTGGAACTTGCATGGAATGTTTCCCATTCGTCTTGATTGTTATTCCCAAGCTAATATTTGTTCTTCTGCGGCTGATTTTCGATTATTTAATTGTCGTTTTGGGGCAAGTCGGTTCTCTGAGGGGCTCATATGATGGCCTCCGAGGTAATTTTCTTTGACGTACACGCCTGTGTTATTTCCTTGGGGTTTAATCTCCTGCTTCTGGCCCATTTCCTGTCACGGTAATTTGGCCCCATCAAGACCGGCCTCTCTCTCTTTCTCCTGGCGACTATAATTTCAACGGCCAGGGGTTGTGCCTATGAGCTCCAGTTTGCCCGAATCTGTTTCCGAATTCTTTACTCCGAAGAGGATTATTTTTTCTAATTTTCGAAAATCAATTAAAGTGTTCTCTGGCTTCTTGAAAATTTTCTCTGAAATGATTTATCCAAATTTAAAATTTAATAATGTTTGCCAAGGTGGGCACTTTAATCTCCGAAAACGGCAAATTTTAAAGAGTGTATTGCATGATTTTAAGTGTAGTATTTTGATTATTTTCAATGAGCGAATTCATGTGTTTGTTACGCTCGCTAAATATTTATGTAGGTATTAAATTTGATTAAAAATCTTCAGAAGCAGTCAAGAAAAAAATTTGTAACAACTTAAGTTATTTGATTCGGTAGTTTCAAAGCAAACCTTAGTAATTTATTCATAGATAAACGTACGATGCTGCATACGCCGCTCTCCACGGAAGTTCTTCAGTGATGGAATTTTTGAACAAGACCTTGAAGTGTTCTGTTCGAGGTCTGCGGGTGTGTTCAGTTGCAATTATTCCCTCTTCTTGGGACAGTATAGGAGACTTACAATTATTTCACCGTCTTGAGACAGATAAGAGACTTGCAATTACTTCACCGTCTTGAGACAGTAGAAGACTTGCAATTATTGACTCGTCACAAGACACTGAGTGTCGTCACCTCACCTCAGGTCTGGCGTCATAATTCGTGCCGCCGGAACACCCACCAAGATTTTAATGAATCGCTTCGTGAGGCGGGCCTCCTCCGCAGATGTGTTTAGGATGACCTCGAAATGGTCGCACAACTCCTTACTCGCCACCGGTTTCCTTTCAGTTCAACTTTTGTGTATAACAAAAATGTCAGAGAAGCGCCCGTTGTTTCATAATACGGGGCATGTTTTGAAATTCTGCATCCTGACACGTCAGGCGGCGGAATTTCAGGCGTTTTTCAGCAGAATTCCACCTCCATTTCAGCAGAATTCGGAATTTCAGCAGAATTTCACCTCCAAATCAGGCGGCAGAATTTTATCAGGAGGGTATTCAAAACTGGTGTCACGTTATCACAAGTGCCTCAATAATATTCACCAAAATTATGTAGAAAAATTGATTAAGGTAGAGGCCTTCATGTAAAAATAAAATGATTTCGATATATTTGCACTTTTTTTTAATTCCAAAACCGTCCTTACTTAAAAAAACATGCCTCGTACCTTTTGTTTATGTTTTGTGTAATGCATTTTGTTCGTATCTAATTTCATTCGAATGGCTACTCAAGATGGATTTCTCTACCAACAACCTATACGCATTGTTCATTATATAGTAGGTTGCATTGTTCTCAATATTACAACGGAACATTGTATCTCAAACCATTGCAGTCTCTTTTTTACTTCCATATTATTAGTAAGAATGTTTCATCAGTTTACCGGGTTTAACTATTTAGCAGACGGCGAAATATTCACTATTTTCTTCAAATTTTCGCGGACGTGTGGAATACCAGAGGAGCAGATGGGCCAACTGACAGTGTGAGGAGCATTTCATCTTCTTTGTGCTGTGGCCGCATTGCGGTCGTTTAGTGGCAACCGTATGGCCATTATGTCTCATTAGTGACCAATTCATCCTCATTCATTTTGATGGGCGGGTGAATGTTTTCGCCCGCGCACAGGTGCTCCTTAAACGGGGCCATCCATCGAACTTTCTGCGCATTTCATTAATTATTTGCTGATAACTGCTATATGGCTTTAAAATGCCCGAGTCACGAATAGCGTTTCCATCAGTGTTTAACTCAACAAATCGTCCACTACTGTTGTCTGAGAATAAAACCTGCACCTTCTGAAATCGTAGCTTTAATTAGCTTTTGTGTGTGATTCTATTTAATTCGTTCACTTTTGCAAGCTTAAACCAAATTATTATTAATGTTGTTTTTTATGTAATGTAAACGTGGAAATGACAATTTTCGATCGTTTTTTAAAATTAATTAAACAGGTAAAGTGTACCCAGGTCCAGTAATGACATTTTATCAATGTTTTTCAGTAGGTTATAATACGATCAGATAAATCTTTTTAATGATCAGTGTAGAAAAGATAATATGGATGATTTTTTATCTGTTTTTTAGGTTCTATTAATTAATGGTTTCCTGTTCCAACAGTTGGAATCAAATAAAAAAAATGCAAATTATAAAATCAAGTTTCCAGTTTGGTGTTTTTTAGCCATTAAATGCATGAACATTTCCTAAATTAGAACTGAAGGATATCATTCACTTCCATCAATACCTTACCTATGCTCAGAATCAAACCACTTTTTTCGAGTTACGATAATTTCACATAAATTTGAATCGAACTCAATACCCTATGATAAAATTTAACGTTTTTTTTTTCTTTTGTTTCAGGTGATCCAGGAGTTCAACGTAAAAAGTTTCACCAATAGCTCTGGCTATTTATGGATGTGATAAGACCAACTTTTAAAGCTTTAAAGCGTAAAGCAGTGAAATTAGCACTATTGAAGACAGTGTTCACAGTGAACAGTGTAGAGTTCTCGTTTGTGAGTTTCTATCAGGCCGATTGAGTGAAATGATGATTGACTCGTAGTGCATGATTTAAGTACTGTGAACTTGCGCAATAATGACCCCAGTGATCGAAGAGATCAATGTTAGGTCAAAGGCTGTGATCGGCACTAAGTGTCGAGCTGTAGATCAAAACAAAGAGTATCAAAGCAAGACTACATTAATGAGTTCACATAAGCTGGGAGCTAAAGATTCAATGTGCCTCGGTATGGGCCAAAAATATGGAAGCGTTTCTGAAAAGAACATCGCAGGCTGTTGTTCCAGAAGCCGCCTGTATTCGATACCGTCCAACGTTTACAAAATCTCAAATGAAAATTTGCCTCGCGCATCTCTCTCTCCTCCGCCTACCAAACTTAGTATATCTCCCAAAATAACGCCTTGTTCCTCATGTCAAAACTTGTGCGCGTACCCACCTGAAGATTGGCAGTTCACCGACGAATACCGCCAAACTTCTGCTAGGGGAGCTTTTATTACGTCCCATAATCTTACTTATTTTTCTAAACCTCTCCTTACTAAACCTGATGTCTCAAGCCCGCTTAATAGGGCGGAGAAACGGTCGTATGGTGGTGCGCCAAGAGTTGCTGAGGTCCGTCGAAAAGCAGATGAAATTCCAAGAAACGATCAGACAAGTAATGTAACCATGATTCAAAGAAATAACCAGATGGACAATGATATCAAGATTCCCAGAAATGATCAGACGGATAATGATACCAAGAGATTGCGTCTTTTTGGAGACAATTCCTTGTATTCTTCAGTATCAGAATCAAAATCCACACGCCTAAGGCCCCATCTGGAACCGTGTGTAGGAACTAAAAGCAATTCATCGTCAAAATCGTTAACTACATTCAATGCATCACATTTAGTTGAGTTTTTCGTTAGTTTCTTCTGTACTCTAATTAATTTGTTTGTCCACCGAGGATCTCCTTCTAGTTCAACACTCTCTTCTTTCGTTCTGGTCTCTCTAGTCTGGTCATCACTGCTGCCTCAAACCTCGATGTCGGCCTTTGCTTACCCGCCCCACAAGTACTCCCCAGATTCATACGGTCTCTGGGATCGATCGCTCGTGCTTGATGATCTTGGCCATTACAAAGTTCAGTGGACTGCAAGCTCGACAGACATTCAGTTCCGTCTTACAGTCCGCACCAGGGGATACATCGGCTTCGGGCTATCGTCCAAGTCGAGGATGGATGGCGCCGACATCGTTGTTGGGTAAGTAAAATAATTCTACCTGTCGTTATTAACATTTGCGTTTACGAATACGGTTGTTTATTTGAAAATTTATCTTATTTATTTAGTTCTTTAATATTTTATAATAAATGTCACATCACATCACCACGAACGAATCGAATCGAATGTAACCTATGGACGAGTTAATAACTTCGAATTTAAAATTAATTGCAAATAGTTACTGCTTGACATTCTTGCCAAGGGATCTATTTTTACACCTGCGTAACTCGCGCTAAAATATGATAAATTTTTTGTTCATTAGGCTTTAGAGTAATCAGAAAATTTGAGTGAACGCGTTCTATACAGACGGTGCGCACGCTCTCATTACTGTTATCGTGTGGACCCAAACTTGGCTGGATCTTGAAACTCGTGGCAGTAGCGAGGCACTTGGTCGAGGTGTTATCGGGGCTTTCTGGTGTGCATCGATCAGCTTCTGACTCCTTAATGCATGTGGCCTCCCATATCTGATAGAACGCGTGCTGCTGCGTGTATATCTTGTGTCAATGTGTGGGGACTGTGTGAAGAGCGCGTGCTGTTGTGTATATCTTGTGTCAATGTGTGGGGACTTTGTGTAGAGCGCGTTCTGTTGTGTATAACTTGTGTCAATGTGTGGGGACTTTGTGTAGAGCGCGTGCTGTTTTGTATAAATTGTGTCAATGTGAGGGGACTTTGTGTAGAGCGCGTGCTTTTGTGTATAACTTGTGTCTGTGTGTGGGTACTTTGTGTAGAGCGCGTGCTGTTGCGTGTATATCTTGTGTCAATGTGTGGGGACTTTGTGTAGAGCGCATGCTGCTGCATGTATATCTTGTGTCAATGTGAGGGACTGTGTGTAGAGCGCGTGCTGCTGCGTGTATAACTTGTGTCAATGTGTGGGACTGTGTGTGAAGCGCGTGCTGTTGTGTGTATAACTTGTGTCAATGTGTGGGACTTTGTGTAGAGCGCATGCTGCTGCATGTATATCTTGTGTCAATGTGAGGGACTGTGTGTGTAGCGCGTGCTGTTGTGTATAACTTGTGTCAATGTGTGGGACTGTGTGTGGAGCGCGTGCTGTTGTTGTATAAATTGTGTCAATGTGGGGCCTGTGTGTAGAGCGTGTGCTGTTGTGTATAACTTGTATCAATGAGGGACTATGTATAGAGCGCGTGCTGCTGTGTGTGAATCATGAGTCAGTTATGTGACTGTGTAGACTCAATTCAATGTCATTATTGATAGGTAATTACGTACAACCAAATACAATTTTTCAGGAAAGAATTCAATGCAAAATTTGCGTTGAAGTGGAACCAAACGACTCTGTTAAAACGATGGAGTTGTACAAAAAGCTAAGGTCACTTCTTGGTTTTTTCGTATGTACTGTTGATTACCGAATTACTTGAGAAAGAATTTCCTGATGATAAATGGTAGAAATTTGTTTATATTAAGTATAAATGGTGCATGATTTTGGCTGCTTCTAAATACATATTTTCTAGGTTTCTCTGTTTACTCAGCAATAACTCAATAACTAATTCATTTTAAACTAGCCTTAAATATTGTATTTTCATAAGATATTCATAGCAATCTCAAACAAAGAAGAGCGCGTAATTCAAGAATTGCGTATATAATTTACTGTTACAAATTTTTCGAAAAAAATCATTCAAGATTTATTGTAACCGCTCTTTCAACGTTTTACAAATATATTCCACATAAAATGGCTTTCCGCTTTCATATGAACTGTAATGGATTTTTCATCCGTTTTTCGGCAAGTTTCATGGCCCAGAGCCTATAGTACTTTTAAAAAAAAGTTAAGAGATCGTAAGTTCATCAGCCGTTCATTGACGGCCTTTCAAGCAAAATCCACCAATCATAGACAAGAAAATAGAGCGTAAGTACTTACGTTCACTTAATCATAGACAAGAAAATAGAGCGTAAGTAGAGCGTAAGTACTTACGTTCACTTAATCATAGACAAGAAAGTAGAGCGTAAGTACTTACGTTCACTTAGCGAGTTTTGAAAGTATGGCCCTGAGCTTGTACAGTTTAGTGTTTGTGATCCACCAGCGTATCTGCCTGGTGCCTCCGCCGCCAGCCATGTGCCTGTCGTTACATGACATGTGTTGGCCTAACCTTGCACGCGTTATTTTTAATGATTATCTTTTCTTCTTCCGCTTTCGGCGTAATCTTGTTAAGCTAGTTTACTCGCTGCTCTTCCTTGTTATCACTTATCTATGAGATTTATAGTTGCATCCGGAGCCTAATTTCTTGCTGTTTTTATTTCGGTCATTCCCTTATTCAAAATGTCAAGGGCTTTCTTTCCTTTCTAACTGCTTTCCGGTCTCAATTATATACTTTAGATAATTTATGTAGATTTTCTCAGCATTTACAAATTTGTGTACCAGAAAATTTGTGTACTCTTATCGAATTTTTCAAAAGTTTTATTTCCTTTTTAACTGTTTTTAGATTTCATTTATATACTTTTAGATTATTTATGTAGATTTTCTTAGCATTTACAAATTTGCGTTCTAGAAAAGAAATATAGGTATTTATCTTTTATTTATCGTGCGCCGACAACTCTGTCTGACGTTCTCCCTATTTCCGGTGCAACTGCATGAAATCCTTTAATCGTAATTGACTTGCATAAACGTAATGTGCGTGCTGGAAAATATTAATTTCCGGAAATAATGTTTTCTTGCATAGTGTAATATATACGAACTCACTTCAGGATGTCCACGAAATTTACCAAGTGCCATGCACGAACCTAAATAGTGATGTCCGCTAATTTAACTTCACAACATCCACGAATTTTTGTGGCAGTAATCATCCCTTGTATTTTGCATGTATCTGTGGAATATTTTGTGTAGTACCTGTATGATTTATTTGGCGCGTCTGTGTGGAATATTTCGTGACGTACCTGCATGACATGTATTTGTCATGTTTATGTTTAATATTTAGTGTAGCAGTTTTGACATGTAGGTATTTGTCATGTTTATGCGAAATATTTCATATGGAATATTTCGTGTAGGAGTTATGACATATATTTATCATGTTTATGTGGAATATATCGTGTTGCATTTGTATTATCTTGGCTTGTATTCTCCGCGATACTTGCTGCCACTCACCGCTAATGCGAGTGTAGCCACTGTCTTGTTTTTGCAGCCCCGACGCTCTTGTGTCTCTTCAGTGCGCTCACGAAGCGCCTGCAAATAAAGCAAACACACAGAGTTTTCTGAAGCAACCTCCACCTGCCTCATTGCACGTCCTTTTTCTCTTAGAAATTTCCCGTATTTTGGAATACCGTGCGAGCAATCTATTTGTTTCGATTTTCTGGGAATCAAATATTTTGAGTGATAATTTTTTAACGTAAAATTTTTAGCGTTTTTTTGCATATGCGGGAATTCACTGATGAACATTTGATTTTTTCAGTTTTTATAATAAACAAATCCTAAAATAACTAAATATTTTAATTTTCAAATCCTATATTTACCTGTTTGAATGTATCTAGATAAGTGACTGAATTCAATCCTGTTCATATTCTTCTGACCGTCTTCTTTATTTAAAATATTCTGAACTCAAATATCCGTTTAAAATTTATTAATATCAGCAATATATGTATCATGAGGACAGGATGTTAATTATTATTTTTCTGTGTAATTTCGAGCACAACTTGGTAAATCCCCTGAGAAATATTAAGTGCAATTAGCCGTGCTGCTCGAGCCGTCTTTCCCTCGCTATGACGAACCGACTCCCTACATCAGACCGCAGCCCTTCATCGTATTTTTCGCTTCATTAGTCATAATCCTAGTGAGTAATTAGCTTCTCCTCGTGCTACTCGTTGTTATTAATCGTTCGCTAGCTGCTGATTCTGCAGTCATTACCACAGCTCTGCTGAGCTCTTGCTTGGACGATCAAACTTCCTGCCACATGATGCGTGCTCACTCGCGTTCAGGCAGATCTTGATGATTTCTTTCTGTTGAAATTTAACATAAAACGATAGTGGTTATTTATAATCGAGGAGAAATTATTATATGATATCATTTTCTGCGGTTTATATGCAGACAGTTATTTAAAGCTGTCATCTTCACTTGAGCGCAATTTATATGATCAGTGAAAATTAATATACATGTAAAAAAGTGGACATTTTCCTCCGATAGGATCGACCAAAGGAAATGATAGTTAATTCTAACGAGTAGTAGTATTCTACGAGTAGTAGATGCTGCATTGCCTGCAGTCTTGCCACATTTGTACCTTAGTCCCAAGACTCTTGTTATTCCCTTGGGCAATTTCCATTCCAAATTCAATCAGAAATGTTGTTCGTTTTGGTGTTTTTGTTGAAGGCGCGCGAGTCTTAAGTCTGTGACGGCTGTCAGGCGTCTGGCGGCTGACGCGCGCCTTCTGATATTCACAATTCTTCAGGAATTTGCATTTATTAAGATTTCATATTTGATAAGTCTTCTTATTTTTCGAAACAGAACCAACACGTTTAAGATTGTTATGCAATGGATGTGCATTTGTCATCGCTCATTTATTTCGTTTACCCACTAGAGATTGTTGTTCAAGTCGCGTCTTCTAACAGTATGAATTATATTTTAAAATTAGTAACTTCTTATGAACTGAAGCTAGATGCTATTTAGATCTCTCCTCATAAGAATTTTTCAGTTATTATTACTGAAATTTACTGGCCACGGACTTCAGAAAGTAATTAATATATTTCAGTGATCGCGATTTACGCTAATTATCTCTGAAAGGTTTTTTATCTGTTGAATTCCTTTGTTTTTTCTCTTCAATTTCTTTCACATTTTCATTGAAACGGCATTCGTTCAAATTAATCTTTCCTCCTATACAACGTTTAAACGACTTTTTTTTGTCATATGAGCAGATATTTCTTAAAGGTTATATCGCCAAAACGTTATACCAATATTAAGGAATTTTTTGTTCATAACCGTTTTTTTTAAATCACTTTATCAACTACGATTCCGCGAATGAACGCGTAGGCAATAATTCTGGCACTCTCGGGCTGTGTACCGTATGCACTTATTTGTTTCGCCGAGTGTTTGCAATATGTTGAAAGACTTGTATTTCATTGATCGCTTGATGGGTGTACTAGAGCAACGCTCACTTGATTTAATAAGCCTATAAAAATCCATCTACCAGTTATATAATTTTTAAACTTTATTACTCGTGACTCCGCAGGCGGCAGCTCCTAGACGAAATTATCTGTATTGTTGCACCTTTAAAAAATTCTTTTCCATTATTATTTTTGTTCAACAAAGTTCTATTGATCATTTTACAGATGGGTACAATAAGATTAAGTTTGTTACACCTTTAACGAATTAATATCATAGTAATCTGTTTAACAAAGATCTATTAATCATTCCTCAGGTGGGTGCACTCTGGCAAAGCTTACCTGCACTGTTATACCTATTAACGGACTAATATCATAGTAATCTGTTTAACAAAGCTCTATTAATCATTCCTCAGGTGGGTGCACTCTGGCAAAGCTTACCTGCACTGTTATACCTTTAACGGATTAATATCATAGTAATCGGTTTAACAAAGATCTATTAATCATTCCTCAGGTGGGTGCACTCTGGCAAAGCTTACCTACAGGACAGACACGGTCTAGGTAACCTGGAGCCTGCGGTTGACCGCTTCCAAGACTGGACCATCGTGAGCGGCTACGAGAACGACACGCACACCGTCCTACACGTGTCACGCCCCCTCAACACCTGCGACCCTCACAACGACCATGCCATTACGGTGAGGACATTTTATTTCTGAGGTTTGCTTACCCCTTTACCATTTTGTATTGAGCGTAAATAATGTCATTAAAAGACTGCAATGTTTGCTCATGTTCTGTGACTGGTTGAATCCTTCATTTCGAAGTAAGTACGTACCATACAAATTCACATTTAATCTGCCTTTTTTTAATGTAATCCAAGTTTAGATTGTTGCTCACGTTTTTGTATTCATGCAAATAATTGGAAAATCTACGGATCTTACATGTATCTTTTGATTAAATGTACTAAGAAACTCATTTATTGTGTGCTAAAATGCCAACGCTGGGCAAACTTGCCACCATTTCAAGGATCAAATGGATTTTAACTGCAATATTATCACCAAATTACTGACATATACACAATAGATTAACTTAAATGAAACTTTAGGAATTGAATTAGAATTTCATACATTTGGTACAAAATTTAAATCAGTCAATCCCATCAATATTTCAGTATCATTCTATCAAATTTCCAGTACATAATAACAATTATATATCCCAGAGAAATCCATCATAAATCAATTCACTTTTTAAACTATAATCATCGACTCAATAGTTGTTTTCACCACCTCAGTCCCCCGCTGACAGACCTCATGTTATTCCTGGGGCTTTCTATTTGGCCCCCGACGTGATCTCTAGCCCAGAAGCGGCGCATCATTTCCGGACGCCGCCTCCAAAACACTTTTTTTCTCACGTGACCGGCTAAAAAAATTCCATACACCGCCGCATTTTTGGCCGCTTGATTTGCCTCGGAGATTTTTATCTTGATGGACTGCAGTAATGTTATGGAACTCGGGCTTTTCCTGGCCCAGCTTGCTGTGCCTGAGAATATTTTAAGTGAATTGTCGTTGTGTGGAGATCTGGCTTGATACGTTACATGATATACTGGTTGATATTGTTGTATCTGCATTTTGTTGTCTCAATGGACGTTTTAGGTCAAGATAACGATAATGGTTCGGGTTTTCACAAAAGATAATTTTAAATCGGAATATTTCGGTATTTATTTCTTAAGATTACGTTTGTAGCATAATTGATATTACGAATATTTATGGTAACGCAAACGTTGAAATTGCATTAACTTCCTTTTAACCACAACACTGAAGAAACTGCTACTGCGCCGGTTCATTCACGCCTATTTATTTTATGCATAATTGATTATAGAACTGAGAATATGCTTTATTAAAAAATTTCTTTCTTTCTTTTATCTCAAATCGAACAATATTTTTCGTTGTACGTCTATATACTCACAAACGTTGAAATAACATCGTAAATTTTCGTTCAGAACGACACGTCGCGGGTGCTATGGGCGTATCACCCCGATGACCCCGTTGACCCGGACAGTCCGCGTCCGCGTCTGCACTACCACGGAGATTTCCGGCGCGGAACCCGGAGCGTCTTCCTGCTGGACCGAGATCCGGGCGTAGAATACGGACATTCCGGCGACGCGTACGGCCAGAACTCTGCTTATCCGTCCGAATCCTCCAAGGACAAGAAGCCTGAAGAGTAATTTTTTTTTACTATTTTTACTATTTATATTCGTACGTTAAATATAGTGAGTAGATGCTTTATTTATTTTAACAAATGGTGAAAAATTTAGCATTCGAATTTTGAAGGTTAAATATCATCATTGTTCAGTATTAATCATATTTTATCATTAATTTAAATTAACATTTTCGTTCAATATATCCAGGTACGTATTTATTAATGATAAACAATATCTTCTTTTTCTGGCGATTCAGAAAGCTGAAAATTAATAAATAATTTTTCCACTGAATGTTTCACGAGAACTCAAACCTTCCAAAACATTTTTTTTTGTTTAGTAGAGATTTATGTACGGAAAAAATAAAATAAAGTGAACTTAATTAATTTACGACCAGGTCTGAGATACACACGTGGACGTTGAACAGCCCCGGCGTCGAGGTGAAGGCGGACATGGCTACTGTTTACTGGTGCAAGCTCTTCAGGAAGCCGCTACTGGTGCAGAAAAACCACATCATAAAGGTAACTTCTGATAACTATTCTGTATTTTTTTAGATTTTATCCCTTATTGTACTGGGGACCTGAGATTTTTTGGGAAAAACTCCTGGAAACTCTGAAAACAGCGAAGTCTTCTTCAGCGAATTTTTGATTAAAAATGCTAACTATTCTCAATATTCAATATTTCTTAACCGTTAGAGACGTGAGAAATTTTTAAATATTTTGTCACAGCAAATTTTAGGCGTTTACACTTTATAATTAAAATCATCCCGAGTTTTTCTCACGCGTTTTCATCACTATACTTCCACTGCCGAGTTCACCCTGTTTGCACTGGCATTTGTATTCATCAACACATTCTACTACAAAACTCGCCCGTTTTCGTCAATAAGCGGCCGCACTGAACCTCATCCGTTTTCACCAATAAAATAAGGCTGTTAAATTCACCCCGTTTGCATTGGCACACGTTTTAATCAATAAAGTTCAACCACGAAATAATCCCCCACTACTAACCTCACCTCTTTTGCGTTGGCACACATTTTGATCAATGAAGTTCCACCAAGAAATAATCCCCCACTACTAACCTCACCCCGTTTGCGTTGGCACACGTTTTATTCAATAAAGTTCCACCACGAAATAATCTCTCACTACAAACCTCACTCCGTTTGCGTTGGCACACGTTTTAATCAATAAAGTTTCACCACGAAGTAATCAAGTTCCACCACGAAATAATCTTCCACTACTAACTCACCCCGTTTGCGTTGGCACACATTTTCATCAATAAAGTTTCACCACGAAGTAATCAAGTTTCACCACGAAATAATCTTCCACTACTAACTCACCCCGTTTGTCTTGGCACACGTTTCAATCAATAAACTTCCACTACGAAGTAATCTCCCACTGCTAACCTTACTCCTTTTCCGCTGCAGTTCGAGCCGATCTTCAGCGCGGGCAACGAGCGCCACGTTCACCACATCCTCGTGTCTGAGTGCACCAGCGACGACCCGGCGGTGGTGGCGAGCCTCGAGCAGCTCGCCGACAGCAGCGGCGGCCAGTGCTACTCTCAGGACATGAGTCCCTTGCTCAGGGCGTGCTCTCATGTCGTCGTCGCCTGGGCTGTCGGCTCTAAGGTTATTTGGGGCATTTTATCTTTTAGGCGCGAATATTGGAAATTTTGTTTTACAGTTGCAATATGTGGTTTAATTAATCAATAGGTTGAATTTAATAAATTAAAGTTAATACAATCTGTGTTTTGAATGATTTTCCCGTGAATTGTATGAATAAACTTATAAAATTCACATTGTCTCCCCATTTGAGAAGTTGATTTTAAGTTTGTTTTTATTTCTCAATCTTTTGCATTAATGTTATTGATGTATTGACATCTGGGTTTTATCCCAGGTCACATGAAGGACCTAATCAATGGTAATATATTTCTTCTGCCTAATTGATCTTATCCATCCTAAAACTATTTCATTTTCAACAGGGTCTGACTCTTCCCCCTGAGACGGGCTACCCGCTGTCCCCGAACGGCCCCACGATCTTCCTCATGCAGGTTCACTACGACAACCCCGACAGCCGGCACTTCCAGGACCACTCCGGCATACGTGTTCACTACACACACAAACTAAGGAACTTCGATGCCGGTAAAATTATCTATTGTATAACTGCTCTTATATGTGTAAATATTATTAGGTTTTCGGTTTTCATGGTTTCAAATTGTGCACTATTTCCAGGTTTTATGGAATTGTTTACGCTTAGTACAAATTTTTTAGTAAGAGTGGAATTTAGTCATTATAAGTTTTATGTAACAAGAAATTTTCCAATACATTTTTTGTCTTACTGCACATATCTGCATGCCAACTTGCTTTCAACTCACAATTCATCGGGATAGTGCCCTTGAAAAAAAAAATTATTTTCTTCTCTCTTTTTTTCATTAGTAACTATATTTTTAACTGAAATTATTAAATCTAATCTTGACTTTGCCCTTGTGTTTTTTCCAGGCGTTCTGAGCGTTGGGCTCGACCCTAACTGGAAACACCTGATTCCGCCTGGACAGGCGAGCGTCTTGTCGTCTGGACACTGCGTGTCAGAGTGCACCTCCAAAGCCATCCCGCCTGCGGGTCGGTTACGTATAGTTACTTATACCTTAACTCATGCTAAATTCCCTTAAACATGTTTGTGAAAAGCATTGATTATTGCATAAAATGCTTTTAAATCGTTACATATTAACTTTTTCGAGTCCCTCCAGAGTTTTAAATTACGAAACAAAAATTCATTTGTTACAACTTGATTCAACTTTCATTCCCAATTAATGTTATCCCTAACCTGTGATATGAATCAACCGGTCATTTTTTTTTCCTTTTGCTGCCATGTTGTCGCCATAAATTAGCATAAATTTCTTGTTGAAAACTATGGACCAATGGTATTTTATTTAATGTTAATATACATAGCGATATAACGTAGAGTTTTATAGATATCATGTAAAATTTTTCTAATTACCGACTATGGCAAGAGGTACTCAAATATAACTTACTATGACGTATTAAAATATAATAATTAATGCTTCATTTAATTATTTCAATAACGAAGTATAATTCATTTTCAAATATAACGAGAATTATATCACGAAAGGAATATAATTTTAACTACAATACAAAGTGATTTACAGAAACTTTATTATATAAAAGCTCAATTAAGAAAGAACTATTAAATAATGTCATTACAATGTAGAATTTCTTGAAAAAAAAAAACGTAGCCTGATTTTTTATAATTTGGTTGATGCCCCCCCCCCCCTGCCGATGTATTCAGTTAATCGATTTCTGAAGTTCCATTTAACTCCCTAAAGCATATTGACCGGTATTTTGGCGATGGCATGGCGAATGTTCATCAAATGAGATAGGGGTCCTTGGACAGTCGTGGTAAACAATTACAATTGGTTTAAGATATCTTGCCCTAAATGTGTTCACCCACGTAACAACCGATTTCCGATCAGGAATTCGACCTCAAGGACGCATACGGAACCGAGTGCGGAATGCTCGTTAAGTAGCTAGAATGAAACGGACATTATAAACGTACGCCTTGACAGAGAACGCACGCTGCTCACTTGTCCAATGCATTGTGGCAACTGACTAGGCGGGACACACTTCCCTTTCATATGAAATACTCCCCGCTCTTTTCCTGCAACATCTGGCTGCTAGGCGCGAAATACTAAACAATATGTTTCCATCAATCACTCTGTACAACGAGATTTTTATTTCTTCAGGTATCCAAGTGTTCGGGGCGGTGGTGCAGACGCACTTACTGGGTCGAGAGGTGCGTCTAAGGCACCTCAGACAAGGCGTTGAATTAGACCCTATCGCTCAAGACCTGAACTACGACTACAGCTACTTGGAGTACAGACTCATGAAGCAGCCCAGGACTGTGCTTCCCGTGAGTAAATTACGGTCATGAGGTTCTTAATTGAAAAATCTGTTAGTTTTGGGTTGCGTGTTTATTGTGTTACTATCTAAGCTGCTGCTATGATTTTTTAATATGGATCGAGATCGTTTATTCATACCTTCGTGGATCTAGATCGTTTATTCATACCTTCGTGGATCTAGATCGTTTATTCATACATTCGTGGATCTAGATCGTTTATTCATACCTTCGTGGATCTAGATCGATTATTCTTACCTGCGATGGCCTCATTAACTAGGGTACTGTAACCATAATGCGTCATCCATGATACCTTAATCTTCATGATCCTATAATTATTCACGATATGCAGTTATTCTAGTTTCACACGAGTTTTCGCACGGAGAATTATATTTTTATGTTGAATAACAAATAAATTGTGTATACACAAATATAACGAACTGTAATTTTTTTAATTTATCTCAAATATTGTCAATTGTGGTGATTAACTTTGCATGCAATTTCATAACCGTTGCAGGGCGATCACTTGATCAGTGAATGCAAGTACAGCAGCGTAGAGCGCTCAGCCATCACCCTGGGAGGTATCAATACAAGGGACGAAATGTGCTTGTCGTATCTGTACTACTGGCCGCGCTCGTCTCTGTCGCTCTGTCACTCCAAACCTTCCCTGAATACCGTGCTCCAAAGCCTCGGCATTGAAGAACTTTCCCAGTGAGTAATGTTTATCATAGTTCGTTCCTACTTTCACTGTGAGTAAAGTTAATGCGAGTTCATTCTTACGTTCCCAGTGAGTAAAGTTTAGCATAGTTCGTTTCTACGTTCCCAGTGAGTTAAGTTCATGAAAGTTCGTTCCTACTTTCACTGTAAGTATAGTTTAAGATAGTTCATTCTTACATTCCCAGTGAGTAAAGTTTAAGATAGTTCATTCTTACGTTCCCAGTGAGTAAAGTTTAGCATAGTTCGTTCCTACGTTCCCAGTGAGTAAAGTTTTAGATTGTTCGTTCTTGTGTCAAAATATTTTGTCTATCTCTTTGAAAGATTTTACTTCTACATTGCGGTTAATACCCTACAAAATCGAAACATTTAGTATCTGATTTGACTTTTAAAAGACTTTTTCTTTAAAATATACAATGGTTGAATAATAAATTACCTAGATGGGATCAAACAATGTGTATTTACTGTGCATCTCTCTTTTGAATTTTCACTACTTGCATTTCCCAACCTTATGTTTCTGGGAGAAAGATGTCGATATAATTGATGAGGGTTGCGTCAAATTTTTGCAGAAAATTGTATTTCAATTCTGTTTGCATAAATTATTGAAAAATTTATTTGTCTGAATTTTTTATTGATTTTGACATTATTTTTAGTACCGGTAATTAAAGTTTTACATTATACATTTTCGTTGCACATTTTGTTCATGTCCATTCAAGTTGCTTCTTCAATTTTTCATGTTTCGCGTAACCTTTCAATTGATAAACTCATTTAATAATTTATAATTCCACATTATCAATAATTAACATATAAGGCGTCTCACGATGTTAGGATTCAACCTTTTCTTTTGAGTCAAGCGTATCAGAATGAGGGCATTTTTGTGACTAGAATCTTCAAACGACAGAGGGTTGCAGTTCCATTGATCTAACCTTCTTCCCGTGACATTTTGATGGCCTTTCGAACGAATGCTCGCCACTATGCACCTCCCAGAGAGACCCGTTCCAGTGATTCTTCTTCTCAAAGTCCAGGCAGTGTTATTCATAAATGACCAGCACGTCTTAATATTTATTTTGTCTCGTGATAGTGAACAATCTTCTCCATCCCAGTTACTATGTGTTTTTGTATGAAGTAATTAAATTGGTTATTTTTGGTTAATTAAATTTTTATTTAATTGCAGAATTTTCGATCGGTAAACGAGCTCTTAAGTTTGTGTAGCAGTGTAACTTAAAAATAAAAAAGTATCAACTTATTCACAATTACACCATTTGAACATGTCCCATAATTTTTTTCTGTTCAATTGAATTTTCTCGATGTTGCATTAGGTACAATTCGTAATCAACATCCAGAACTCCCAGCATCAGATGCTGTCGTCACAGCCGCTCTTAAAGTTGTGCAAGCTTTGTTATTTTCTGAGATAAAAGAGCGAAGTGTAGCCTTTATGTCATCTTTTAGTGCTGCTCTGCACTCCATGAGACTCTTAAGCTTCATCTTCATGGACTTGCTCTAGTTGCTCACTGCATGTGCGTCAAACTTCTACACTGCATCTTCTTTAATGTGAAAACCATCAAGTTTAAAAATTATTTTCCCTTACCTTCTTTATTAAAATTCTCATACCTAGTTTCTAATTCAAAACTATATATCATTCTTACACACTTTCTGGCTCATAAAGTTATTTATAGGTTGTTTTAGGATTTTTTTAAATTTCACCCATAATAAATGCATTTTTATGTGCGCTTGAAATCCTTGAAATTCACACGTTTTTCTGGAGGACATTAGTGAAGCTCGTTGGCCCTTGTTCTATTGCAATGTAATTGGACGAGCACAACGTTACACATGGCCGGGTGCAAATAAAGAAAGGACTTCTTATCGGCCGCATTCGAGCAAATGTTCGCCCCGGTGCTTCCGAACACTGCAAACTCTTTCACTGGCAGCCATCTGATAGTGTAGCGAGCTCACGGCCAAAGATTTCTGCCGATTTTATTTTCCAGCGATAGGGCTCTGATATTTTTAGTATCTGGTCGCAGGCTATGTTTCCAGATTCTGGTTTATACTGAAAATTTAAGAGAGGAGGCTACATAATATTAACATAATGTTTCCAAAATTCTTATAGATGATAAATTTTCAAGCCCTCGCTAGAAAAGGATGCGTACATTGCGTTATTTATTTCATATTATTTTTGGAGGATAAAATATCGAATCCCTAAGGAGTGTGTTAAATATTAAACTTGCTTTGAAAAATATTGCCCCTGCAGCATTTCTTCACTCAAAAAAAAATCGTAAAAAAACGTGTGTATCTCATTCAAGGAAAATCCCGAAATTGCAAAGTTTCAATAATTATAAACGTTGACTTCAATATATCGTAAATTTCTTCTTCTTCTCTCTCCCCCACTTTGAATGTTAAATTGTGTGTTAACTCCTTCACCCACATCGAAGATTCGTTCATTTCCTGTCGCCATTTCCTTCCCTCGCCATGCATTTCCTCGGCAGGCTGGCGCTCGTTATGCCATCTCCTGTTGTGCCTTCCGCTGCCAAGATTTCGCCTCTAGGAGTCGCGGTGACGAATCTGATTATTGGGAGGGAAATTTGTCTTGTGATTGGAGCGCGATTGCCATTCCCGACCATCCCTCGCAAACATGCGTCGCCCTGAGCCAGCGCTCGCCGCATAACATGTGCCTGTTTACAATCACTCGATGCTTGCTGATAACTTTTAAACGTGTTATCTCGCAGGTAATGCGTGAGTTGAAAACATTATTATGGCTAGTAATAATGTCACTAGATTGCTTGAATCGCTGTTGATTGAATTATTATGGCTTGTCAGCATGATGCACGATTATTTTTTAACATTGACAGTAGGCAGGATATTGAACGTATCACTTCATTAAATTGCATTGCGTGCTAATGAACAGACGAAACCGTAATTTCCTTCTGAACTCTAAAATACGGTTTCGGCTACTTTTTCTTTTTATTTAAGAATGTTTTTTTTTCCACAGAGTATAAAATTCCCGTCTGAACTTACTAAAGCTTTATCGGTATATTTGATGGCATTTTTACTGCCTGCGTTCCTGGATAACTGCATTAATTGCTTGAAGTCATTATATCAAATCGCATAAGCGAGCTGACGCTTTTTTTTAACACGACTCATTAATTTTCATGGAACATTGATGACTCACTACAAAGTTTAACAGCTTACAACAAATGAAGGTCAATATGCTGTGGCCTCAGTGTAAACATCCACCGTGTCCTCGCTGTGGTTGTGCATTAAAATTTTCATATATAATTTAGCAAGTGATAAACCATTCTTCCTGCATTCTGAAAATTAATGAGCCTTCAAACCTGATTTATTTGTGAACTTCCAGGCCGCAAAAGTAATGCTTCACTTCAACGTTCTTCATTGTTTATCCAAATTATGGTCACTGTTGAATCAACGCAACTGGTCAACATTTGAAATGCTTTAGCATCGTTTTATTTGATTATCATTAATAACATGAATTTCAGTCCTTAGCTTTGAACAAATTTACGTTCTGTATGTGCTTCGACAACTTTTAAATTTTTCCTCATTGAATGATTTTTAAATATTCAAGAAATATTTTGAAGGTGGCAATTTTCACAATTCTAATGGTATTTACCATCTTTCTTTATTGTTTACCTTCTTTCGTTTTGAGAAATTGGTGCAGTTTATCCAACGTTTCATACAATTGTAGTTAAATGTGCATGTAAATTATCTGAGAAATTCAGCTATTCGAATGTACTTGGAACTGACTTTCACGCGTTTATGTGACATGACTATTTTGGAGTGTCAACAACGATGATGATTTCTTATTTTTACTTGCAGTGCCGGCAAATATTTTGGAGTACGAATAATGTATGACATCGTACCAAAGCAAAATTAAAGTGCGATCCAACTTAAACAACAATTTGCATATATTCTACGACCACCATCGTTAAATTTATTCAAATATGTTTCAAATTATTATACTTTTGCTGGCTTAAATCAATGGAAAGAGCTCGTGTCTCTGATTTGAAACTACGGCACTAAATCGATAGGTTATTTTCAGACTATGTCATTAACCTCAATATTAGCTAATAACTTGCGTTGTTGGCTTCATCAGATATCAATCATGTATTTTCATCGCCTTCAAATTAATATTGAGTCTAATAATTATGTCTATCAATAATATTAATATTCTTTCAAGTCTGTCGACCGGAATAATTTTCATAAAACTTACTATGGTTTTAAATTATTGACTTACAAAAATCATCGCCTACTTCTCTTGCTTAAAACCAAAACATGTTTGCCTAACTGGCGGCGATAATAACATTTAAAAGACTATAATTATCTGAACTTCTTATCTGTTGTGTTTTTTATTTCATTTATCACTCACATCCGTCGTAATTCCGAGTATCACATTTATCGCTACGCCGAGTATCACTTTTATCTTTATTTCGAGTATCACATTTATAGTTAAGTCGAGTATCACTTTTATCGTTATGCCGAGTTTCACACATATCGTTATGTCGTGTATCACATTAATCGTTTCGCCGAGTATCACACTTATCGTCATGTCGACTATCCCGCTTATTGTTATGTCGAGAATCACTTTTATCGTTATACTGGTATCACACTTATCGTTGTACAGATCACCACATTTATCCGAATAAAGCACAACGAAGTTAAGACACTTGTCCCAGCAACAGAGCTGAGCGTGTGGGAGTGTAAGCTAATAAACGCTAGAGGGATGTCCTGATTAACTGATAGGGGGAGGCTGTCTGGAGAGCCGTGAAGAGGTTGGGGTGACATTGGCCCTACAGCTCTATAACTCCCCCATTGACATCAATGCTTATTAATTTAGTCAAATTCATGATTGATTTTGTGGGAATACTTACTTATTGTGGTAATGCAGGTCTGAGTGCCATGGACGATTATTCTAAATCATTAAGACTGTTGTTGTATGTACATAATTTAATTGATCGGGAAAAATGAGTGGCATGTAAAATATCAGCCCATTATTCCAAGCCAATTCACACATAAGTTTTACCCATTGCATGGTTCCTAAGTCAATTTCGATATTTTCTTTTCCAATAGTATTTCTGTTAACTAATAATCATTTGCCACGAAACACGGAAACTGTACACGCCACACAATCATTTACAAGCGATACTATCATTTACAAGTGATACTAATCTCTGCCCAAGTGTCCTGGCCGAGCTACAAGCTGAGGCAAACTTTCAGATATTTTTTCCTACAACTAAGAACCCCCGAGGCCTCACCTCTCTCTTTTATTCAATTGTCCAGAGGTCTGGCATGGTCACAACAAATATAACTCCGATAATTGCGTTATAACAACGACAACTTGTTGTTGCTTTTCTGCGGCGAGACGAAAGCTGTGTCGGGTTTGCAAAATGCATCGTCGGTTCGTTGTCCTAACAATCCACACTGTTTTTGCTCGCTAATTTGGCATCGCCCTTAATTTTTACGCTGAAAAGAGTCTTGTCATTCATTCATTTAAAAACTTCTGGTTCGCTGCCTACTAAATTGGAGGGATGTTTTTTTTCACTACTATCTAGTCCACTTTCTCATATATTACTTTGGAAAAGTCATGCGAATTACTTGTGTTTTTAATTCATTATTCGTCACAATTAACATTCATGATTTCCATGTGAATATATTCAATTTATCAACATTCCATTACAAGTCTTCATGCCTTCAAAATTTTGGATCGCATTTCCACTTCCAGCACATAAAGCGCTCATTTAGCCTTCCAATGTCAGACCCATTACTTTTCACTAAGTATCAGTTAACAGTGTGAAGCCACTGGCATACGTAACCGAGGGTATTTTTTAGCACGGCTTGAGGGTTGCCTGTACATTATCCGAGGGCTGCTGAGAGTATCCCTCAGTCCTAGACGCAGGAAAATAAGAAGAATAAAAAAATAAAAATAAAATAAAAAAATAAAAAAATAAGAATAAGAAGCTGCATTAGCAGCCTCTGGCGTGGCAGCCGATGCATGATTTAGACTCAAGGAGCCTTGCGCTCGGCACCTCATTTTCTACACCACTAAATATTGGCTTCCAATTTTCTTGAGGGCTTAAGCGCCTTCGCTGGATATTTGTCTTTATTTATATACTGCTTCTCCGGGTTGTTTATGGTCTTTACGCTAAAACTATGTATTATTTTCTTGTCGCTTGTAATAAAAAAACGCTTATTAGGATGCGAATTCATTTCAATGAACCTAACTAGGTTTGTATATGATTCTCGTCATACATTTTTTTCCGTGCTCTCTGACGTAATTGGTAATGGCTTATCACTTCAGCTACTAACTCGACTACAGGATTAAGGACTAAATTGGCAATTGAAACCTGTAGAAAGAATCATTTACCGTACTTAACTCAGACTTAATCCCATTGTTTTCCTTTCACCCTCGTCATACTGCATAATTTGACAACGTTATAATCGAACCAAGTTGAGGTACAATTATTATTGTACCTATGCAATCCGGCAAGAGCTGAACGCACGAGCAAACGCGTCAAGGAAGAATAGTCTCATAAATGATATTTTTTGTCTTCTTCTTCTGCAGTGACTCGGACATAATCAAAATACGGAAGCCTCAGGAGCTGGCAGGCAAGACGCTGGAATGGCGGCTGGTCAACTACGACTGGGAATTTCAGTTCGAGAATTTCCAGCGCACCACGCACACCGGCACCTTCAACCCCATGTGCCGCTCCCGTGGACACAGTCTTCTGCCTGTGAGTCTTTAGGAATATTTAATTGAAAATCTATGTTAAATTGGTGAGGTATCTTTGGTACTGCATTGGCGCCATCCTAACATACTTTTCAACATGCAATATCCAATAGGATACATGATTGGATAATAATTTCCAATCACGAATTGATTAGTACGGGGTAGTTTTGTCTAACATGAAGTCAACCGGAAAAATATTTTAACCCTCAGGCTAACGTGCCTTTCCTGAGGACAGAATGTGCATCTCTAAAGTTACCGTGCAAACAATATCAATATTGCTGGATGATTCCTGTAATACTAGATGTGTATTAACACTCGATGATTTTTTTAACAATAACAAGCATCTTAGACTTTAATAATCTCAAAACATTTATTCTTTATTTATGTTATGCGCGACATTGCGCTAGGTTCATGCTATTTTACTAATTGTGAAACAAACAAACTTTTGCAAAAATTAGAACATTCCGTTCTAATTTTTGCCCAAGAAGGGTATCTACATCAAATCATTCACTGGTTTGCTAAAGCTAATTAATATCACAACGTCACTGAAGACATGACAGTATTTCTTACTTTTTCGTGAGCTATTGCGCTTGGACTCCTCTTTGGATAGCCACGGACCTCTCAACCTGAGCGCCTCTAGAGCTCATTTCTTCATTGGTGGCGAGGGACTCCCGGAGACTTCATTACCACTGGATTATGAGACCCCGCTGGGGAACCTGTCTGGTGCACTGATTAATTCCATGCGAATAAAGGGATTTGTTCGCCACGCTTTTTCTAACGGCATGCTAGCGTGGTGGCGGATTTATCGACTTTAGATTATGATTAAGAATAGTTAATTGTTTTGTTCTTGACGTATATGCGTCTTGACGCATTAAGAATTTTTGAGAAAAATTGTTCATCGATTTATGTTGTCGCTACCTTAAATTGGTTATTTGCATAGCTAATTTGACGTGAAACTGCTAAAATGAATTAAGTCTACATTAAGGTCTTGGTAAAAAATCTTTGGCCGGAAGATAAGAGTTTTTTCGTTTCTTCTTCACATTGTTGTCTACATATTTCTGCTATCCTACGTTAATAATATTGTTAATCTTCAAGGTGGATCAATTAGGAAGGTTTTAAATTTAACAATTTAATTTTTGACCCATTTGGAATGTAAAGCAGAAAGGTTTTCTCAAGATTACTTGAAAACTTTTCTTTTAATATTTCTTTAATGCACCTATAGTAGAAACAAGCGATGCAAAACTGTAGTAAAATTCCCTTAGAAATTTCCGTTATGGTTGCGTTTTGGAGTTCTCTGGAGGTGCTTGGTCATGCCGTGCGACGTAATTCTCAAGTTTGTGGGGAAACCTTAGGATTTCGGCGAATTTTTGCTTGAAGCTTCAACATAATTCTGGGCCCTGGGGCGCCGCTCTAATGAGGGCTCGTCTTGCTTGTGAACCCCGCCAAAATTTGTTCCGTATGTGCCACAATGTTGTTGTTTTTACTATTATTTATTTATGTTGTTTTCTGTTAGTGCCGTGCTCTGTGATTTTTTAGTATTATGGTTTGTTATTTTATTGAATATTGCAAAGAAAATTTGTTTCTTCCATCCGTTGATACTGTTTGGGAATTAAATTGCAACTGAACAATTTCGACCCTGGAACGATGTCTGTTTCACTTGAAATGCATAACAATTTATTTTATACGCCTGTTCCAATGTTGTTAAAGTAGTTTATTTCGAACGAAATGAAACTTTCTGAAATGCAATAATATGACTATCATATTCTATTTTATTTGATCTAGACACGATGTTTTTACGAACACCTTTTATAAGTTCTTCTTAAAGAGATTTTCCGTCATCAAAAACTATCATCGTCTTCACGAAAAAACTATTCAAATGTTTGAACAATGCTCTTCTTAGAGAACGCATAATTGCGTGTAATAAGATTTCCTTACCTTAAAAAGTGACAATCACTATAGATATCAGGAAGATAAGAAAATTAATTTCAGGAGGATGAGGGGGATTTGGTAAAATTTCATTATTTAAACGTCGCAGCTTTTTCATTTTCTGGGGACCTAGTGAATAAATATTCATTCTTTCAAAAAAGATGAAATGAGGATTTTACAGTAGTGATTTCAAATAACATTTCGTCTGAAATAGAATATGAATGCAAGAGATTCAGAAGACGTAGAATATGCAAGCAAATGGTTATGCTTGAGTTAACGTAAATTCTGTTTAAAATTATAATAGACAATAGACGAAACGACATACTTAACAAATACTACGTAGATATTGCGTAAGGAGCAGCCTAATACTATTTAATAATTCCGCTACCCTTCCACTCGGATCGTAAATGCGAGACTCTAGCGCAATTAAAACTGCAGCAGGACGAAACAAAAAAATATCTCATATGAAGTTTTTATTCCATATCGCGTTTACCTCCGTGTTGACTTAAACATGGGATAAGTAAATTTGGTGAGTTATTTTTTATAATGAAGAACTCTAGGTAATAGAATGATTTTCACTTCTTCGCCGAACGCTGAAAATTAATGTTCTGAATTTCATATGCCCATGAACTTATTTATTTGAGAATTATAAAGACGACATACATTTCAATAGTCACCGTTGTTTATAATTACCTAATAAATAAAACAATTAAATATTAATATTTTCTTTATGAAACGATCGAGTTGAATTTTTCTGAATTCTTTCTTTTTATGAAAGATGATCTCAAGTTTTGCATGTATTTTTCGAACAGATGCGTACTTAAAATGTATCTATAATTGATGCAGCAGTCCTACACAACTAACCAAGTCTTTGTTAAAAACTGCGCTCGATCGCATCTTGAACTTTTGCACTCAACTTTTCGCAAAGCGTTTTACTTGTGTTACAAGTTTTATCTTGAACCAATTTTTTTTGGCTCAGTTTTAGAATATTTCGTGTAGGCCTCCAAGCCTACTTTTTAGCGCATTTTCTCATTTATGGAAAAAAATGCACTATTGTGCTCGCCACGTCTGTCCGTCCGTCAGTCCGTCTTTCCGTCCGTGACTTCACGTTTTCGTCGACGAGAAAATACGCTCTCTGTCACTCACTGCAGTGAGTACTGAGTTAAATTTTTTTTCCTTCTAGCATGCGAATTTCTCTCACCTGTGATGTTCATGTTTCTCTTGCGTTCTCGGAGCGCTGAATTTCGTGTGCGTGTTCGTATTTTATCGGTGACACTTCATCATCGATGAAGGCAAGGAAGAGAGACGTGGTTTGTTGTCGAGAGCAGCGAATGTGAAGCTGTTTGGCTTCCTCCTGAGCATATTTGGGTCGTGCCAACAAACTGTGAAATTGCTGCTGCCTCCACTGTAAAATTTGCAGGCCTCTTAGCTGCACTAAACCTTGCCTCCAAAATCCTGACGCCATTTCTTTACTCCAAGTTTCTAGGCATGAAACATTTTATGCTTCTGTTTCATTTCGTTTTAGTTTTGCTCATTTTATTTTATATTTTATTTTTCTTCATATTATTTTGACAATATATGCTTGTACACTTGAAAATAATTCTGAAATTCGCTAACGCTTTACATATAAAAAAAGTAAATATTTCGTCTCTAAATTTCCAAGTTCGTGAAGAATTATAGGTGATAAACTTAGCAGAATTTGTTTATTCTTATGCACGATCTCTTCAAGTTCAAGCGCCTTATCTATTTGATAGCTGCGGTCTTCGAGGACCTTCACAAAAATTGTCGTCACCCCTTAATATTCTCACACGGATCGTTCCGCCATATGCAAATACGCGAAATACGGTGAATACTCCTATTCCTTTTGCTGAAATATTTCAAAACCCATTACTTTTGAGACTTTTTAGTCTCATCATTGCCCATTCATGAATACTTCGGAAAGATTCTCATGATTAATTTACAAAATTTTACAAATGTCTGACTATTCCAACTTGCATTGTGGGGTAGGGAACGATCATTGAATAACGTTTTTACTGACATTTACAACCATTGACTTATGTTATGTGTCTAATACAAGATGAACCTCATCTATAGAAATGATGACGACACTTGCGAACACTCTATTAATTTCCCATGACGACATAATTCACTTCATTGGTTCAGTTATTTTAGTTAATAACACTTAATAATGCCATCGCATGATTTTTTGTAGAATTGTCAACTGGTAGTTTTCAAAATGGTGGAGCAACCGTTGCAAAAACTCTATCATACATAATCTTTTCATTAATTAAAAACGCGAAAGTGACTTTTTACGCTGTTAATTTGGTTGAAGTCAAATCTAATTGCAAGAATGTTAAACCCACTTTGACCATATGTTAAATAGTTGGATTTTAATCTGGACGCTCGTTCCTTCGTTACCTGATATCGTGGCCCTCATCATAAAATGCCGTCATCATTGAGCCACGCTAATGTAGGTCTAGTGCCATGTCCCAGAGCTTTCTTATCGTTAATGGCGCCAATTATAAGTCCTTTGCTCGAAGGGTCATTTGGAAGTCCTCCTCGGTCCTGGAATATCACATGCAAACTCTTCGTGACGTCGTCTTGCTCCGTCTTATCGTGTCATTTGCACCAGGGTCTTTAGAACGATCTTTCTTGCGACGCGTCTTTGTAGCTACGAATAACGAATTCAGAAGTCACAGTCTCTGTTTTTTAAACAGTACGCAAACTAATTGCAACGCTACTAAAGAATCGTCTTGCATTTCACGCTTAAGCTATAATAATGATAAACTTTCGTGTTTCCTCCCGGAATTATACTGATATCTGATAGCAAGAGAAATATTTAAAATATTTTCCAGGGTAAGCTTCGTATTTTGTGGTGGTTTAGGAGGCATTTTGTTCACGGTAGTCTGAAAAGATTCATTTCTTCAGTAGCAAGCGGCGCTGCGCTCCACAATGGGAGTGTGGCTGCTCTGTACAGATAGAAAAAGAAGCTCCAACTACTTATTATTCATAGTCTAATTCTGAAGGCACAATGCTGGGCGGGCTTTTAATTTTACAGGACGCTGGGCAAGGAGGATCTTTGTTGCTAGGCGATTTAGATGCACTTTTCTCCACTTGCACTCGTAATTGTGCTTATTTTATATAAGCACTTGCTTAAATTAATTTTTTTATCTCCAAACTGTTTGCCAATAATTTGAAATAATTTGTCAAGTTTTGTTAATTATGTTTTCCGTTATCGGTTTCTTTTCGAATCTACTTCAATAATTGCCCTAAATAAATTGTACCTTTGACAGCCTAATAAAAAAATTCAACATTTTATCAGCTTTGATTAGTTTGCTAACGTTCATCTTATTTATCTTTTCAGATCCTGGAAGAAGTTGATTACGAGTATCCTAATATCAGCGAGCCCTGGTTCGCCGAAGACACCTGCCGGAGACCGCAGTGGCCTCATGCTAAGGAGTCCAGTGTCCATCACCGGCGGCAGCGCCCTCACCATCGTCGTCAACACCCACACTTGGCCGAGGGGCTACAAGACGAGGCACAGGGCCCTCACACTGAAGACCACGCCTCCGGGGATGGGGCCAGTCCAGTGTCTGCATACGATGGATCTGATGTGATGTTCGATGATGACATCAGCTCCAAACCCATCAAGAGAATTGATGCTGATCCAGTGAGAAAATTCGACGTTTTCATGCCCATTAGAGAGGATGTTTTTGATGCGAAGAACCAAGGTTCGTCCGTGAACCCCATGGAGCAGTTCCCAGGGGCTAACGGGGCTGTTAACAGCCACGGTGTCTACGGCAATAGTGGAAGAACCGTTAACACCAGGAACAGATCGCCGTTCCAGGATTTGAGGGAAGAGTTTGATGCCATGGAGCGCGATTTGGAGGAGGAAGTGAACCATAATCGCTTGCCTGATAGTTTCCAGGAGCGCACCGCTCATAATCCTCGGGCAAACTCTGCTGGTGCGGCATCCATACCAGCGCCAGGCTGGAAGATTAGTCTCTTTTTTATTCCTATCGTACATTTCTTATATAATAAAAACGTATTTAATCGCTTGAAAAGCTCTATTTTAGGCTGCTAGTACATGTAACTTGTGTTTTATAGGATCTTCACCCCAAGCTTCTAGACTCTTTCTCTGGAAATAGTGATATTTGTATATTGGTACGGCATACTGGTAGCCTCGCTTCTTACGCTTGTGATGAAAGTCTGTAGGTCGCGTGTGTCTATTTGTACAGAACTTTAGGCTGTTCCATTAAGAAGAAATGTTTAGCCTAAAAGATATAAAGTTAGATACAGAAATTCAAGTTTGAAGCTCTCTGTGCTTCTTCTCTTGATTTAAGTGCAATTATTCAGTTTCGTGAATGTCGTGTTTGTAGGAACGAAGGCATTTGTGGCATTATCGTGTTTGCTGTAGCTAAACGTCGTGTATGTGAAGAGCTATTAAATGGACCCAAAGAGTCGTGGACTTTTGCTGATATAGCAACGTCTTATGTGAAATTTGTACGAAATGACTATAGAAATTTGATTTTTGACTGAACTAACTAAATGGTTTCTGTTTATTGTCTTCGCACTGGAATAATTCCATGCCTATATTGCCAAAAATTCCAACTATTACATGCTCGTTTTTTACGTAAATTTCCATTTAAATTCTTCAGTTGATTAAAGATATTGTCACAATGTCCGCGTAATGAACGTCGCAATTATATCATTTTTCCGACCAATCCTCCGAAATTTAATTTTTGACCTTTTATAAAAAATGTGCACTCACATTAAAGAGAATTTTCCTTTGTAAAGCCTGACCGAGTGTTCTTGCTGGTAACGTCCAGTTTCCAGTTAGTGCAAAACTGAACTGTATTTAAAAATTTGATGAATTTTTAGACGTTGGCGCTTTTCTCTGTAATTGATTCGGTTGCTTTCAAATTGACCTCCGATTTGAGAGTTGATTTTCGGAAACTCGTCCTTGTGCCAGAATCAATGTTTCTGTTTACGTTTGCAGCGCTCTGAGGACGGATAACTTTCTCAAAATAGCGGTGAATTTCTGGCGGCCTCAAAAATATCTATTCTTGTTCTATAAAATCTACGAATTTATTTCCACAGCAGCAATCAAATATCAGAAATGATAGCATCTTCATTAATTTTTTTCGGCGACATTCACGTTGACACTTTACTGATTAAATATTATTTGTTCCTTCCTGAAAGTCTCTGAACATCGAATTCCGCTGCTTCGTAGTGTTTATTGCTGTTCTGTACTCTCGCTGTCAGTATTTTTTGTCGCTTCAGTGATTGAATTTGAAGTTTGCTGATTTGATCGAAGCAATTGACATCTGTGGGAAAAACAAGCTTGTATGAAAAAATTGGCTCTCGTCATACCTCGATTTTCGATCAATTCTCTCCCGATATTTTCAACATTTTTTTTTCTTTTTTTTTTTTGTATTGCTTCAGCCATTTATATTTATTTATTCGTGTTTGCGTCATTTTTTAACTGAAGTTTTGGATTTTTCAGGGAATGCTTTGATTGCTTCCTGAAAACGAATCAAAATGTTTAGATGCCAATAATTTTCCTGAGACACAACCTACTGCTTGTGGTTGTTGTTCGTTTTTCCTGTTAAACAAAATTCGAACCTAACACTAATTTTTATAGTCAGTAAATTTCATTCGCTATTCCTATGCAATTCTATGACACCTATTTTACTAATCTAGTAACTTGGGTTCTATGATGAATATTCGTTTTTTTGTATCTCGACTGATGTTTTGTAATTTCTTATACAAAATCCGCAAATGCATAACTTTAATAATTCCATATTAATGGAAGGTTCACACCTTCCCAAACGATTGCGCAACATCAAACAAGTTGTTGAAAGTATTGACTACTTTATTGCTGCATTTTGCTAACTTCATAGATGTATATTTCAATGTTATCGGCCATATACTTTCATGATGTCTATCATATATAATGAATTTCATCTATGAAATTGAAGTAAGGCATATAACTTATTTATTGAAGGCTGATAAATATCAGTTAACTGTTCATCAACTGTATTGCAAGCTTTGCATGAAATTCGACATCGTCCTCGAAGAATTTAATCATTGAAAACGTAAAATTATTTGTAACTTTTTAATTGAAATAAAAATGTAATGTATTACAAAATAATCTGAAGACCATTGTATTATCAATATAACACTAATCAGTCTAACTTCTGCATATAATACTTCTTGTGTATTCACCGTAAATTTAATGATTAACAGCGTCTACATGATTCAAAGAAGTCTGACAATTTCGAATTTTTTTGGCTACATAGAATTTTCATAATATTTGTCTTGAAAGACTACTCAAATTCACGGTAAATCTCGTTTTTAACGTACAATCATTACTTTTACGTGCGCTTTGCGGCACTGCCCTTGACTCGGAAATACACCGCGAAATTATGACCTGTTAAAGATTCAAACAAAATCTCATACACGTGTGTCAAGTAAGCAGAAAATTATGCATTCGCTTGGTTAGACCAATGCAAAATTTTTGGACCTTAACGAATTTCCAACTTTTCCTAATCCCTTAGTAATGAAATACAGCATGTGCCGATGTTATGACAGGCAGATTCGCATATTTTAGTCAATTTACTGCATTAAGGAGTGTATATATTGACACTTGTACATTTTTACGTTGTTATTGACATAATGCTTATTGTTCTTGCTTCGATCGCCGTCTCTACGTTGTGCTTGCTTATTATTTTTGCAAGCCTTTAGTCACTCGCTGTTTTTGAGTCCGCTTGTGTTATAAAATGTGGTGACACTCGGTCTGAAAGAGCCACATATTATTCTGTGTGATTGTATTATTGTTAGGATCATGCCTATTATTATTATTATCACTGTACAGTTTGTGTATAAAAAAGCTATTAGTTCTAATACAATATTTTTTTCAATAATTTTTCATTACCCTTAGTTCTGAAAATATTTTAGTCTAACTGAAGATTAGATATTTACAGCGATTTTTTGCAAGTTTAATCCTAATTTAATCGAGGATTTACATTGCACATCCATGGTAGTTCGGACACATTATAACCAAAAAAGCTGCTGCAAATAACCCACAAATGACCAAAACAAAAATGGAGTTCTTCCGCTGGTATTTAATCAGAGAGTGAGTTGCATAAGTGGAGACAAATACCGAAGTTCGTTTACAATAAGCAGAAGGAAAAAAATATAACTCAGTACTCACTGCAGTGAGTGGCAGAGAGCGCATTTTCTCGTCGACGAAAACTTGAGGTCAAGAAAGGACGGACAGACGGACATGGCGAGCACAATAGTGCATTTTTTCCATAAATGAGAAAATGCGCTAAAAATTCCTCATATTAATTTCGGATTATATCTTTCACATCTTTCTTTGCTTATTTTATCATCTTTACACACATCGTGTAACAGGATTTCAATTCATCAGCTAGATTTGTTCCTCATGTTGCCTTCCATGCATGATTCAACTTTTTTGTCATATGTTGAGTTTAATTTTGAATCTAGCGATAGCAACATTTCCATTGTTTCATGTTTCTTTATCATTATAATCTGAATTTAATTGCCTGTATTCATTTTATCCAAAGCATAATGCACCAAACTGATACCTGGAATCACTATTGACCGGCCCCTAATGAAACTTAAACTTCCACAATAACAACTTATCGGGTAATGCTACTGCTTATATACTCATTTCTGATCGAATTTCGGTTATTGTGCGACAAAGGCGTTAAATTAATACTTAAATTTTGATATTACTTTAAAGTCTTATTATTTTAAGTAATTGATTAACTTTGATAGGCATAATAATTTTTCAACTCTGTGAACCCAAAAGTTACTTTAATGTTAATAATAAATACCGTAGACTTTTTAAGAAAAGTTCCATGCATAAAGCTCCTCATTTTCCGGGAACGTCCAAAGCTGACTGGTGCTTCCTTAGTTACAATGAAAATCAAATTTAATTTAAATGAATATGAACCCCCAAAACAGTAATTTCAAGTTTACTTAGGATATTTATATAATGTTCTTTTTATACTAGAAAATTAACAGCTATTATTTAATGAATGACATTTTCATCAGGATTCGAAACGACAAGAAATTTTCTCAGCCTTGATCTAGTCAATAATTAAAATCACACAGATAATTTCTATTCTATGGAGATGCTGGTGAAAATAATAAAAAGTTGAATTCTGTGTAATTGTGGGAAAGAAATTTCCTCTCAATTTACACAAAATATAAACGCATAAATTTCCTTGAATTTTGACGTTGTATATCAGCAATATTATTGGTCTTGAAATTTTCTCTTAAAACGAATTCATAAAATATAATATTTAGCATACCAATATCCATTTTGTTTTTCATCACTACTGTAGTTTTATCAGATTGATCGTAATGCAGGCTCAACAAAATTTGAATAAAAAAACTTTCCTAATTAGGGCTCATCCTATCTTATTTGAGAGACGATCGAGACGAGCTAAAATACCTGGTTAGTCGTTAGAAGAAGGTTTTTAGCCAAGAAAGTTTGAAGAAAAGTTTCCTCTTCGGCTGGCGTTAAAATGTATTCAATTAAAAATGAACTACAAAGTGACGGGAAAAAAGGGCCGGGTTTTTAAAATGTAGCTCATACGAATCCTTTAACGAGGTGAGAGGTTCACCGATTTCTTATTTAAATTTAGGCTGACATGAAAATTAGCCAAAAATAACGGCTAAAGGCAGATTATTCACCGTAATTTTTCTTCGCTATATTACATCAAAATAATCCACATCCATTTCAGAATCAGGGTCTGCGAAGGCAAAAAAAATTTATACCTTATACATACTCTACTGGTCTCACTTCATTTTCAATATGTCTATTTTTACGGGTTTTGAAAATTTTAAATCTCTTTTAACCCTCAGTTAGTGGTGGCAGAAAAGATAATATTAACACTTGATCCATTATCTACATGAGTCAAGTCACTGAAAACAGGATGTTCAATCTACTGCGCTACAGGTTTTAACTTATCTGGGATATATGCTAATAATATAATAATTAAATAATTATAATATAAAAATTTTTATATGATATAATAATTATTTATGCTTTCCTACATTGACGACACGTTGCAGTTCATCTAACATTATATTGAGTCATGCTAGTGCGCATGAAACTGATCGCATGTTCCCCTTAACGTGCGTGCTATCCCCAATCTACTCCCCAATCGGCTCTCCACTGCCGCTCCTTGGCTCGCTCTATTGGGCTTCTCGCTGGGACTCGCAATTGGTTTAGGGATTTGGAGGCTCTGTGACGCGTGTGTAATATGGAACCTAGGATTTGAAAAATTCTCACTGAATTGCACCATGTTAGGTTCGTTCGTTCTATCGGCTGTCTAGTAAAACAGTTAATAAAATTCTTCGAAATTTCGCTTTTAAAATACATCGTACTGTAAACTATGCTGCACCCGTGAGTTGAATCAGTGTGAGCTGAATCAGCATTGAAAGTTAAGGTTGATATACGAAAATTCAGTAAACGTTAATATGAACATGCAATTTTGAAGCCGATCAGTAGTAAGTTATCTTAAACGATTTGTTGTTGAGAAGATCTACCTATTTGTTTAGAAGAAAATGTGCGAATAAAATCCCATGACTTAATTTACTTTGATGCAATCTCTTGCCTGAACGAGTTCAATGAGAGCAATCGGTCACAAATATGTCAACGTATGTGTACATGTTACAATCCTGCATCATTGCATTGCATCTAACATACAGCCTCGTTTAACAAAATGTTTTTTCAATGAAGAAATAGCAAGGTTTAGAACATTACTGAACATGCCAGCGTGATCACGGGCTCGCCAGAAACATGACAGGGCTAACTAAGCTAAAACTTTCATGGCTTTCATGACTTATTAGACAGTCGTTACGGGTAGACTTGCGTACCCCAAGTCATTCAGTCTTTGAACATCACTCAAGTAATACAGGGATAATTTAGGCCACTTATTACCTAAATGCTTGTGTTTTATCGAGCCTGAACCTAACCTGAACCCAGGGAGTGCAATTATTGAGTCATTTATGGGGTAATTTGTTCACTCAACAAAGCGTGGAACTACAAGCGTGGCCATGGCAGATATTAATTAACAATTACTAACTAGCAATTACAATAGTATTATTCGCCCAGTTCTGTGTATAGTATATTTTTTATAATTATGACATAGTTATTGTAATTTTAATGTAGTATTTATAAACCATTAATATACTTATTTGTGAGGATTTTTTTACAATTTTATACTAATTTTAACGTACTTCTTCTAGATATTTTAACGCTTTCACTGTATTTATGCATACTGCATGAAATTAATTTTTAAGACATTCGTTTGAAATTTTCCATTGCATGTTCTGATAATCAAGTTTATTGCCAGCAGTATTCAATGTGACTAAATTTTTCCGGTAAGTTATTTAATACATTTATGTGGTGCAACGGTCGACTGGGGCCCTGCCAGTTATTTCTGCTTCATCTATCAATTGCTATGACTGACTCGTAACATTCAAATTTGAGACTTGACAATGAAGCATTATTACTCACACATGGGATGTTTAAACGTGACACATGGCAAAAGAAAGTTAAAGAATTCATTGGTGCAGGTGAAGAAGTTGCCCTTTAATTTTCCTTTTAAAGGAATAGTTCATATTAACTTTATTAACTTACTCCAAGAAAAGAAGACTCGTGGAGGTTATATATGAACCTTTGATCGTATTCTGGCTATATGTGCTGTTACTTATAACATATTTAAGCTATAAAAAATCGCATAATTGAATGCTGTCCTATTGTAGTTAAGTAAATTTGTTACTGTGAAATTTTCTTTGCTCATTCGACCCTCTATTCTCCACGAGTATCCCTCTGTAGCGAAACCGTTCGCACGATTCCAAAATTCAATTAAAGACTAGACAATGAGATTACCTGACACAAGTTTTTGAACTTAAGTTTGTTGCAGAGGTTTTACGAGAGATGCTATTCTGGGGCACTGTCTGTGAAACACTTCTTGTAGGAGTATCAGTTAAATATTATACTCTTATATTAAGATATTCACCATTAATTTTCTAAAATTATTGTGCATAATAATCGACTAATAATTCTGCGGACGACAAATTATGCAACACTCTCTTCATCATGGTTTTTGTTGGTTTCGACTTCTTTCGAAAAGTGCACATCCAGTTAAAATTTACATCAACAGTGAAGAAAAAATTCCAGATCGAAGTAAATTAAGGGCAATAATTATTCAAGTTTTTATCCTGGAAATGTAAAATTTCTGAAAATAAGAGCAATGGTACGAAATCGTAATAAGTTTCATCGATAAAACTAATTATCGCTTAATATCATTTGTAGATGTTCTGCTCGATACTTTTGGCTCCTAGACGTAAAACTGTTGCATGATTGAAATAGTTATAATAAGTCTTAGCAAAGATATTTTTGTTGTAAAGCAAAAACTTTGGGCTGGGGTGGGATACGCGGCTGCACAAGCGAATTTAAAAGTTCAATGAACGCCTTTTTTTGGGCAGTGTGGCATGCTATGCTCAAGCAAAATCTAAAAGATTCGCATGAGCATAGATAAAGAAAATATTTTTATTTGGTTATACGATTTAAAAAAAATCTCTGTATATTACTTTACTTTTGCTCATCTCTGACAAGAGAAAAGTGTTACTGTATGTAGTCCAAGTCTTTAGTTTATTCTCACTATAAACAAATCACTATTTGCATCTTTGAGTATTGAACGATAAGTTGACATCCAAGAAAATTCTGTGGGTGACGCTTCATGGAACGCAGTTATGTTCAGGGAGAATAAGGATGAGACCACCATGCTCGCTAATTATAAGAGCTTTCAAAAAGTCATAAAGGCCAGAGAGGCTCAGAGTTTACAGCTGCTTTATGATCCCCGGGAGACTGCGC